GATTGCTGGCATTGTCGGACTGACCAATTTGGTGCCATACTGTGCTACAAAGTATGCGGTACGTGGCATGATGGAGGCGCTACATGAGGAGATACGCGATGGACCCTACAAAGATTTTGTAATTTTTTTTTATAAAAATTTTTAATCTCACGACAAAGAGCGAAGATATTTAAATGTATAACTCTTTCATTTTAGATAAAACTCACCGTTGTTTATCCCTATATGACCAATACTGGCCTTTGTAAACGTCCGAAAGTCAAATTTCCCTCAATGCTTGGTCTTCTAGATCCCAAGGAGGTGGCCAAGCATATAGTGGAGGCGCATCGCTCCAATGTCAATGAAACCACAATACCAACTAGTCTTCTGCATATCAACAATTGGTGTCGCCTACTGCCGTTACGTTGCGGTCTCTTGTTGAAGGATTATATAGACAGCGGGGTAGAGTCGGATCTGTGAGTGTAGGCGTTGCTGCGGAAACAAATAAATTTTTGAAGGACGTTTTATACTTGATTTTATATTATATTTGGTAGTTGCGGTTGTTCGTTGTAAGAGTTTCCAAAAAAAAAGTTTGTTGTTAATAAAAATATGTAAATTAAACGTGTGTGTTTCATAGGTGGAAAAATCTATTAGAAAATAATTGATCATAAAACAAATAAGGGCAGGCACTGTCTTCGGCCATGCCAAAGGCTTCATAGCTTTCATGAACATCTGCAAATTTTACTTTAACAGATTACTGCTTTTGAATACATCTGCATACATCGATAGAGGAGTTACATACTTATATAAAAAATCGCATCTAAACAATCAGAGGTATGGAAGATATACTTTATATGGCACCAATCTAAGTGATTTTCACTGCTATATGATCGGTATGTAAACCGGTAACACAATTTGTTGGGTTTAGTTTCCTACATAAAGGAGATATATGGCAAAAACTGGTATCTGAACAATCAGTGCTATAGGAGATAAAGCTTATACAGCATAGATTTTGACGATTTTCTCAATAGACTTTGTATTATTATTTATAAATTATCTTACGAAATTTATCGGTTTTAGCTGTTCAAATAAAGGAGTTTTACAGTAAAATCCCATATCTGAACAATCAGATGTATGGAAGATATATGTAGTAGTCACCCGATCCTTGTTATTTTCACTGTAAGTATTCTGTTAATAATGAGTAAAAGTGGTGCGATATTTCATGTTCCTAGCTGCATAAATGGAGGAGTTATGATAAAAGACCTCATATCTGAACAATCAGTTGTATGGAGCTATATGTTATAGTTACCCGATCTTTTTAATTTTCACTGTAAGTTTTCTGTTAATAGTTATTGAAAACAGTGCGGAATTTTATGTTCCTAGCTATATAAATGGATGAGTTATAACGAAAAATTTTATATCTGAACAATCAGTTGTATGGGAGCTATAGGTTATAGTGACCCGATCTTTGTAATTTTCACTGTAAGTATTCTGTGAGGAAATACAGATAATATGGCCACGTCCCTGTTGCTTCATTTGCGGCAGAAATGCTTCGAGTGTCCAGAAATGTGATAGTACATTTATATCGAAAACGCGCTTTATCTCCTCAGCTGTGTGTTGTTCCAACGGATGTGTTGGCATAATACCGACATTGTTCACCAACACCGAAACACGTCCCACTTCGGCTTCTACTTTGGCGGCTAGCCTCAGAACGGCTTCGCGATCGGAAACATCACAGCTGCAGGAAGAAAAAAAGAAAACAAGAAAAGGGTTTAATGAACGTCTGAAGATAGGCACTATTATCAGTAAAAAAAAAAAAAAAAATAAAATATCTAAAAAATAATATAAAAAAGCATACGTATACGCGTAGACGGAGTTCTGCATAAGTCGTTTAGCTTTCTTTAGTGTCTCTTCATTGTTCTTCTCGTTTATGTCCACACACACTACTACACTACCCCAGGCGGTGTAATGCAAGGCCAATTCGCGTCCAATACCATGTCCAGCGCCTGTTATCTGCGAAAGTATATTTGCAATAAAACAAAGTGAATATATGTATTTATATTTTTTACCAATATAATTTCACCGCTTATGTCTTTTAGTTTTTTGTTCATCATCTTTTCGAAAAGGCGTTGCAGTAATTCTAAAAGTATTTTTACGAATACCACAAAGAATTCGCTAACGTCCTGAACAACGTCCATGATGCGTTTCGATACTTTATTTGTGCTGGAAAATTAAAAAATTTAATTAGAAAATGAATAAGTGTATTTATTTCAAGTATTGGGTTTTTGAGATAATCATACAGAATTATCCGTTATGCCATGTTCAAAATCGTGTCTTGTTTCCGGGGGAATGCCACTACATAAATATGCATCTAAATTTTCTTCATTTTGAGAGTGAATCGAAAACTTAAATATTTTAAACTAGCAAATACCCGGCATGCCTTACTGCGTCTTAAACGTATTTTTGTGTTGTTATTCCCTCCCAAAACTGTTATGGTCGCATTCATCAATCATAAAAAATATTTAAAGGGATAGGTTTTCAAACAAATTTTCAATTTATTAACCATTCTTTATTCCTAATGAATGTGGGTCTCATTGAATATATGTACTTTGTAGGACAGTACAATTTCTTAAAACTCTTTAGTTTCATCGCCGTATTGTAATATTTGATTTATTTTACACATTTAATTGAATAAAATTATTCAAACAGGTGGCAATCCTCCCCAAAAATTATTTTTGGCAGTAAACTTTCTCTCTCTCTCTCAGTTTGATACCCATATTACTAATGTTCAATTTATCTCATCAATTAAATTAAATTAAAATTTCCAAAAGGGTGGCAGCCCCCTTCAAAAATATTTTTGGCAGTAAAATTTCCTAAACCTCTTCAGTTTGCTATCCGTATTGGTAATGTTCAATTTATCCCATCAATTAAATTAAATTAAAATTTTCTCACAGGTGGCAACCTTCCACAAAAATATTTTCGGCTGTAAGCTTTTCCTTTGCTAGCCATATTTCAGTATTTAGTTTACCTAATCAAATTACGTAAAATGCAATTTTCAAACAGTTGGCAACTCTCTAATTTTTTTCCTTTCAATATTTTAAGTTAGACTTCTAGAAATATATCGGTGAAAACCGCATTCTACTCCATGCATACAGATAGACAAAATTTCTAAAAATTGTTGATTTGGCTTCCGCTACTCTAACTTTTCTTTGATAATAATTTTATTATATGTATAAATAATTTTTAGCAATTCTAAATACTAACAAAATATTAACTTTTACCACCATTTAAGTATATTTATTTTCCCCCTTTCAGTATCAAAAAGTTGCTTTGACCGAAAAGTGCAGCTTTTACCGCGGCGGCGATGATATGTACTGTTACTAACACAGCAAGAATTTTTATAACGTTAATAAAATGACGTACAAATTTATATAGTATAATATTTTCCACGTAGGAAACCTTCACAGTCCCTATTCCATGCTCCAAATTATGTCAGCATAAAACATATTCCAGATGCGAGTTCTTCAGTACTAACTTCGGGAAGTTTCTAAATAGAACGTTCTTAAATATTAGAGGCAATGGAATTTGGCATCAAATACAATTAGGGGATTCACAAGACGTGTTAACCGTCGTAAAATCTTAAGGTTAACATCTTTTTTAATTAAAATGGTTTTAGGGGATTTCTAACTAAACCGAAATTCGTTTAAACTGATAAAGAATATATAATTAGCCAACCCCCCAACCATTTTAACCGCTATTTTACATAAACAAGTTTTAAGCTTAAGATTTTACGACGGTTAACACGTCTTGTGAATCCCCTAAATATGTCTGTGAAGTTTCAAGAGTGTGCCACGGTATTAAAAAAAAATGGCAGCATGCAGAATATCTGTCGCAGTTATTTTGTAATTTTTGAAATTTTCCGATTTTTTCATTTTAAAATTTTGATATACATGTACTTCTAAATGGAAACCCTAAAGCCTGGTTTTCATTAATCAGCTGTTCGCATGGCAAACGAAATCAAAATTGCCAACATGTTGGCAAATACATTTTGGTTGTCAAATGCTGCCACATCAGCGGCGAGGACCGTTTTCACTTGGCTGTCATTTTACATGACCGTGCGTGGCATAAGGTGGCATCAAGGTTTTAATCGGAAGAGTCTTGAAAAGGCTTTATTTCTAAGCAACATAAATATGTATAGCAGGGGCTCCACATGTTTGAAAATTCAAATTCAAATTGAATTATAGGAATTAACGGTTTAAAAAGTAAAATTCAAAATTTTCAGTCATTTCAATTATTTATTACAATATATACATGTACATAAGTATGAAAAAGTATCACAAGAGAGAGGTTTAAGATAGTTTTAGTTTGAAAATATTTTGTAGATATTTAAAAATTTAAAGTTTCCTGATTTTCGCATATTTTAAGTATGTTGAGTTTATTTAAAATAAATTACAACTAATGTAGCACGTAGAAATTTCATACACTCAGCGAAGCGGTCCAATGATCGGATCTAAACCAAATTAATATGGGACCAGCTTTCATTAAAAAACCATACCATATTTCATTAAAAAAAAGAATTCTACACATAAAAACATATACATATAAAAAAAATATTTCGAAGAATTGCTAACCTTCTCCTTTTTTTGAAGTCGGTTAAAAATTAAAAATTGGTGGGCCTTTCTTTGTAAATTCGTTTGATTCCAGAAGCATCAATACATCCTTTGCAGAACCTAACAATCCACGCTTAAGCTCCTGAGTTAAGCAAACATTCCAAAGGCTGGTTTTTAATCGTTCTTTTTTTTTAAGATTCACATGCAAATACATTTTGTCAATTAAGAATTGATATGACTACTTATTCTTATAAGTACCGGCCAGAAATTTTAACCTTCTCACACCACTAACTAACTTAAAAAGTCTAACAAAACAATTCAAAAGCGAGCAACGAAAATCTAAGTCCAAAACAAATATAAATATTATGGCTAAGAAAACTAAGCAAATATTTATTATCTAGTGTTGATTGCCGGTAATTGACACAAAGCCGGCCGGCTACGCTGCTGCCAGTCATGCCACTCTTGGCCGCATTAAAAGCGTGCATTCAGCCGCCTATCTCTCTCTACGGCTACTCACTTTACAAATCTGGCACTTGCCCGTATGGGCAACAAGTGGGCGGCAAAAATGTTTACGAAACGTAAACAAATGCACACGCAACGTCATGATAATGGTGGTGAGCAGAGTGCACAAGTGAAATGACAACATTGGCACATTGACACACACACACACACACATACAGACATACCGCAGTGATGTTGCAACAAGTGCAATTTGCTTTTAATTATTTTTAATGGTTTTTTATGGTAAATATGCATTCGCATCGGCAATTGCAACTGCGTGTACATGCTCGTATGTATGTATAGAAAAGTATTTCTGCATTGGTTTGAAATGTAATTAACCTTATAGAAGATGATAAAATTTTGCAACAATTAACCTTTTTAATGGACTGGCAAAGCGTATTTAATCGTTCTTCTTTTACATAATATGTAAATGGCATTTGGCTGCACGCATGCACATATGTACATACATAATTCGTCATTTAATTTTAATGAGCAAATTTGTATGCAACACTTGCGGAAAATGTGAATTACGAAATGCCATTCAGTGAATATGTAGTGGCGTGGAAATCGAAAGTATGTTAAGTACTTAGCTAAGTTTTAAGATAATACCTATGCACTCTCAAGTTCAAACTGCAATATAGGACAAATTTGTTATTAAGTGTATTTACACGTAGCAGCCATACTGCTTGGTTTATTTAGATTTTTATGAGTGGGTAGTTTTACTTAGCGCCAATGTACAGCGTAATAAATTCAGCATGAGCGTGCCAGTAATTTCAATTAGCAGAAGCGGGCATAGAAAAGTGAGTGCTTATTGATTTAGCGGTAAAACAGTCATTCCGATGAGTTGTGCGTACGTCGGGTTACGATCGTAAAAGATGTAGTGGAAATATACGACATAAAATTGCCAAACGATTTACCAGATAGCCAGCAGTTAGATAATACTTTTTTAATATGGAAATTTAAATTAATTGGTTTGAACGTATAAAAGACTTACATTTATATATGTATATATTTTGTTGAATGAGCAACGCAAACTGAACCATATTTGTTATCATTGTATAAAAGGACGCACTTAGGGCTTCGTTTAGAACTACCTTTGAAAAGTTGCCATTCATTTGGATGGTATTGCCAAAGACCCATTTCCAGAAAATACGTTTAAGACGCAGTGAAGGACGCCGGGTATTCCCTAGTTTATTATAAAAATCATAATTTAACAGTTAAATTTTAATTTTGTGCAGAAAACGAAGCCTGAAAATATGTACCACTTAACTATAAGTAAACTAAATAAATTTATAAACATTTTGCTTATAGTTATGTGGTACATATTTTTAGGCTTCGTTTTCTGCATAACCATTCGCAGTCTAGTAATCAGGGACGAGAACAAAAGGTATGAACGAACGCTTCAAAACCAAAATCGAAATGAGAACAAAACTGTCACGAACGTTCTCAACGGGGAATTATATAAAAACAAAACACTGTGAAACGTTCAAAAGAAAAAAAAATGCGAGCAATGTTTTCGGGAATATTTCTAAGAGAACAAAATGGGTAACCGGAACGTTCTGGCAAAGAATAAAACGGGAAAAAACGTCTAAAGAACTTTCTCTCGAAGAACCATTTGGGAACTAAACTCTCAGGGACTTTCTGACAGGTAACGAATCGGGAACAAATATTCTCTGAACTTTTCGCGAAGAATGGAAACGAGAACTAAATTTTATGCCAATAAAGTAAACGAAAGACTTAAGACACGAACTTTTCTTGCATATAAAATTAAATGGACATTCACAGTAATGATAAACGATCTGGAAGTTGAAATAATCCAGCTTTGCTCTGGCTTAGAATTAACAATGGTGGTTCCCACTGAAACCGATTTTTAATCCCAACACGCAGACCCACCTCTCATTCTTAACGTTAAGTTCCCAAACCGATTGTTCTCGTTTTGTTCATTGTTCACTATCAGAATGCTCTTAAGACGTTTGTTCTTATTTGATCCTAATTAAAAACGTTCGCGATACTTTCGTTCTTATTTTGTTCTCATTTTAAACGTTTCCGACAGTTTCGTTCTCATTCTGTTGTTCTTGAGAACGTTCCCGAGAGTTTTGTTCGGGGTTTGTTCTTTACGGAAACGTTGCCGAATCTTTTGTTCTCATTTTGTACACTTTTAAACTGCTCTCAATACTTTTGTTCCCGTTTGGCTCTTTCGTAGGTACGTCCATGTAATTACATTTTGCTCTCGTGCAAAACTAAACCAAAACTGGAACGCCTTCTCGGTTCCTGAATCTAATTGTTATATTTGCATTTGTGTTTTTTTCGATCATATTATAACCGTTTTTTAGGCGGCCTCCATTATAATAGTTAATGAAAAAAGCGATTACATTTATCGAAAAACCAAAGTCTAAATTTGACGATTATTTTTTATCGAAACAAATTCACAAATTACGATTTGCAATGATCTGTAAATTAAAATCTTTTGTCCAAATTTATAAAAATAAAGAAGACTTTAAATGCTTTGTAAAACAAACATTTTTATGAAAATATCACTTTATAAAGCTTTTCAAATGCACTTTATTTTTTATGAATTACTTATGCTATTGGTATTTAACAGTTATTTCCGGTCCCTGGCGAAAAGACTTAGGTATATGCCTCTAAGCACCGAAATTATTGTAACCATATAGTGAGAAAATCTGAAAATTAGTGAATATCCTAAATAAATATAATTAAATTTATGGTAATAAAGATTCATAAGTGGATCGTATCTATAAAAAAGAATCGAATATAACACACTTATTTGCTCCACTTTTTAATTTCATTTAATCATATATATATATAGCACATTACACATTAGGGAGGTCTTTAAAAATATCAATATCTAAATTTTGTACAAAACAAAGACATCCACGAAAATTCGATAAAATTTAAATTTTTTAATGTCCCCAAAAAATCGACAAAATTTTGAATTGAAATCTTATAAATTTGACAATTATTGAAAATTATTCATATATGTAAATCAGGCTGCTCAAAATTTTTATATTGAAGTAAAATTGCAATACATCTAAAAAATTTATGTGTACACCGATATTTTTTTTGGAATACAAACGAAGTTAAAAACACAAATTTATTTTTATTGTACGATTAGTGAATGAAAATTTTTAACAACGTGAGTATTTACATAAATATATGTGGAATAATACAGTGCGTTAAGAAATGATAGCAACATGTAGATGAAAAGTTCCAAATTTTGGTAAGAGAACTGCTTGCATATACTTACATCATATTGCAAGCCAAAATTTTACAATTTCATACGTATCCCTGGGATACTCCTCGCTTATAAAAGTAAAAGTAGTTTTTTTTTATAAAAACGGCCTCAAGCTCAACAAAATTGTTGAATATAATTGTCATAAGACCATAAATAACAAAAAAGCAAATAACTTAAGGACGGGCACACTTAAAAGTTGAATATTCTAGAAATAGAATTATTAACGAATACCAGCAACCACATGATCAGTTGTGAATTGCAGCGGAATAGCTGCGCGTGATTATAGTTAGCTCACAAATGTGCTTATGGAGTGAGCAGCTCTCGCTGAGTTATAGCTGGTAAAAGACAAAGTTTGGTAAAATTTTTGGGATTTGTAAAAAAGTTGAACTTTTCAAATCTAGGTAGCGACAATTATTTTTTTAATTTTTAAATTTCCGCGGATGTTCATGATGTTGATATTTTATAGACCAGCCTAATATGTATACATACATATACATCCATAATTGCACTTATAGCTACGGTGACCATCCGTCCTGTATTATACGGGACAGTCCTTTTTTTTGACCCATTGTCCTGCTAATTTATTTATTTCATAGGGGACGCCAAATGTGCTGTACTTCTTTTCACGACGCCTTAACAGCTCATTTAAATGGCTTGCTTATGAACGAGTTTTAAGTGATGTTGGTATATGATCGTAATTTTCTCCATAAACAGTTATTATTTTCTAATCTAAATGCCTGTGATTCGAATCGAGGAATACATGCAGTGACCAAAATAGAAATTAGGACTCGACATTTTAGTAAGTTTTGGCTCCTTCGTTTATTTAATGTTTTTTTTATTTATTTTATGAAATGAAAGCTCTTTTCCTAATAAAAATCATATAACAACAAATTTTCAACTTTGTGTAAAAAACTATAAAAATTAATTCTGCAATGTTTCGCCAAAATTTCAAATTTTTTAATTCGAATCTTTAGAAAAAATTTGGTTTGCAGTTTTGTAACTTAATAAAATTGAGTATAATAAAATGCGAGTGGAAAATGCTGCTCATTTGCTTCTCTTTTAAAAAAAATGGTCTAACATACTTACTTTGCATGAAAAAATGCGTTACACCGTAAATAAAAAAATTCCAAAAATTAAAAAAAAAAATTTAACGAATATTTTTAACAATTTTTTTGGGGGTAAAAATCTCGAGTAAATTATCCTACAAATTTGTGATGTTACTAAAAGGATACTGTTTCAGAGCTAATACACCTAGGATCATTGAAGAAGGCTTTAAAGATCTGTAAGCTGTTGTGGAAAAAATTTGCAAAATTATTTTTTGTCCCGTATTCGGCTCTCATAAATATGGTCAACGTACTTATAGCACATATATGTATATACTCGTAATATTAAGCATTGAAATGGCGTTTATATATATACTTACTGTATGACTTCACGCTCAATCATCTTGCTCTCGGATAGCTGTGTGCCACTGTTTATTTAATTTATTTCTTTTTCGAAGTTTTGCACCAAAATTATTGATTAATATTGATTTACATATGTATTATACATACATACATACATACATACATAAATATGTTGATTACGAATATATTTAGGGGATTCCCTTAAGCTCGAAAGTGGCTCGAAAACCACGAAACCTCGAAACTTTTCCAGCCTCGAAAAACAACTGTCAAAAATTGTATGAGTGGCGATTTTCGCGTGCCTCGAAAACTTTCGAGGCAAATTAGTCGCGAAAAAAGCCTCGAAAAGTCGTTCGTAAGTTTCAGTGTTGCCTTTATAATTGTTGACTGCGTTTTGATCAATAAATTCATACAATTTACATTTTTCACTTTTTCGTGGCATTTTCAATGCTGATTTTATATGTATTTATTTCAGCTGATGCGATGTATTATACAAAAAACTCTGAATGAGCTGTCAAACTTCGGAATTTCTCCATTGTTTACGAGGCTGAAAAAAGGTGCATTCCCAAAAACAGCCTCGAAAACTTTCGAGGTTTTCGAGTTTTCTGCTCTTCGCGTTTAAGGGAATCCCCTAACTGTAAAACGTGGTCCGCAGCGGAGGTGCGCATTTACACGTGATTAACTTTTAGATGGTTTCGTCTGCCTGTGGTCTAACTAAACGAAACAACACAAGCATACAAACATACGTCAGCATATGTCGGCTTTTAACCGCAAAAGCGCGTTCATTTTCGTTTGCACAAGCAGACAGAGAACCATTCGCGAATGCAATGCACAAAAACGGGTCGATAAGACCAAGTCAGAGCAATTATTGCAAGTGGTTATTGCAAAATGCGGCGGTGCTACTAACGCGATTATGCTCTAGCAGTGCAGGAAAGACTGAGTAGATACATCGTTACCTAAAGGTGAAAAGGTGCTAAGTCCATTTTTTGAAATTGTTCCGAACAGAAAAAAGAACCTTCTTATCTGTATATTATTTGTCATTTTGCATTAAAAATTCAAAATTGGATAAAAAGCGACTTAGCACCTTTTTATTTTACCTTTAGGTAGCGATATGCATCTATGAGTGTAGTTATAAAAACAAAAAAAAAAAATGAACGCAATTTGCTATTCGTTCGACTATGGTTTGCGCAAATCAGCACTATTTTAGTGCATCCGATTTTAGCGGTTTTTGAAAAAAAGGAAACGGGTGTGAGTAAGCGAATAAGTGTAGCGGCTAGACGAACCAAAACCTGTCAAATACTATTCGTGCAATGCAGCATTCACTTCCCACTGGCTTCTATGTTGCCGTCGTAGAGTGGCGAAAAAAGTCGTAAAGTGCCGGCGGTGTTGATGCAACAACTGGTTTTGCCGACGTGATAATTGTGTATGCATGTTGTAAGTAAATAAACGTTGCGGCCACTGTGCACCATTGCGACACTTTAATTATTCGTTCTTTTTTTTTGGATGTACTAAGTATACGTGCGAGGCGAGCACATCGAGGGAACTGACAGAAAACTTCCTATATATTTGAAATAAAACTTTGTATGTTTCGTTTTGTATTCGTTTTTTTTTGGTTTTAACAAAAAATGTGATTTGTGGATGTCGCAGACGTTGACTTTCGGGTTTAAGTACCTTAAAGCCTAAAAAACTCCCTTTCAACACATACCTACTTACTTATGTTTGTTTGTAGGTTCGTACCTAAAAAATATTGACGAATTAAAATGAGAAAATTTGAACAATAGTTCTGAACGCTGATATGATCCGCATTTAGAGTTGCTGCAAAGCATGCCACCACAAGCCGGTTTCCTCATGAGGGTGGGAGGGAAAAATGAAAATGTTGAAAATTTTCTTCCAAAACCAAGGGGAAATATGGTAAAAATCATGTCATCACCACGTTTTCATGCGCAAATAAAACGAAGTAATAGTTTTAGGTTTTCGAACTACAGTGGCGGGCAATGATGAGTACAAGGTGATTTTTGTTAAATATTTGCAAGGTTTTTAAAGTTAAATTTTTTTGTTGTTTTTGTCAATGGTTTATGCTTTCGCCAAAACCATTAATATAAATTAAACTTTCAAACTTATACAACTTTACAACTTTATACTTAAAAATATTTAACAAATTTTCTTTAATCCATTGAGCTTTCTAATGTGATTTTTTAGAATTTTATTGTTGTGTTAATTTCATTTAATTTTCCTTGCAAACGGTCTTGCGTATTTTTTCCATAAGAAATTCATGCTGCTTTGAAAAAAATTTCAAAACGCCGTAAAAAAAATCTGAAAAAAAAACAACGCGATTCCGCAGCTGCTTAAAACTTGCACTTTATTATACTAAAATTATTAAGCTTACAAAACTGCATAATCAAAAGAAATCTGAAAAATCAGATTAAAAAACTCAAATTTTTAATGAAAATTTGTAAAATTTTTCTAGGCTCTGTTTAAAGTTAGAAAGCTTGATTTATATGTTTTGGTTAAGCATGCGCCATATTTTTACAAAAAAAAAAATAAAAACTTAAAAATTTAACTCTAAAAACCAGGCAAATATTAAACAAAAATCACCATGCTCACATCACTGTTCCCCACTGTATATCTTAGGTGAAGAATTGTTTGGTACAACGGCTTGATTTACTGCATACATGGCAACCGTAGTTGTCCTGGCCACTCTATGATAACACCGTGCGGTAAAAACAAATATAGTAAAAGTGCATTTTTTACTTTCCTATCCTTCATCCTTGATAGCATGGATAACTGCATGTCTAGCCTGACACCAGCTGGCTGGAGCTCCACTTCCCTCCCATCAAGGGATGAGCGGGCAGGGGGCTGTGGTTGGAGGGGGGCTCGGTGAACTTTTGCACGGATGCGGCGAAACTTGACGGAAGGGTCGGTGGACGTTTATTTCCAGGGAGCTCTGCATCAACCTCAAATTTAGGCTTCCCAACCACTGTAGCCTTTTTCAGGCATACCATAACACCATCCCAGTATCTGGGAAACTTCTTGACCGATATAAAAAGTATTTATGCCCATTTAAAGATAACTTAAATACCTTTTATACGACTTATATACTACAACAATTTTCAAAGAAAATTTTAAATAAACACAATTTAAAAAAAATAATAATGTCTTACGGCGTCTTCAGACTCAAACCGTAGAGCGATGTACGAGTTTAATGTGATAGTACTCTCCTCGGACTATCGCCAGGATTTGAGTAGGCAGCCGGAATTGGAGCGCTAACATGAAGTATTAAACATTTTCAATTGGACCAAAATTAAAAAAAAAAGTTGGTGACATTTTCGACAACACTTCTTCTAAAGCCAATAGCCACTACATATTTCTCGTTTTTTTTTTTTATACATATTGCAACATTCGATAAAATTTCAGGTTGTTTAATAAAATTTCAGATTGTCCATTTGTCAACACGCTTTCATGAGGCAAACTCGCCGGCCGTCTATTGCTCTCTATTACAAAACAGCAATCAGGCCACATTTTGTGTGTACGAAAATACCTGCCTAATGTGCCAGACACATTAACAGCAGCAGCCCATCGCCACAACGCCACAACGCTTGCTCGCATTACTATAAGTTATCGCAGCAGCAGCAACAACACACACACGTTCGCTACAACTTAAAAATGCATTAACGTAAGTATCGACATACAAAACAAAAGCTTTCGTTGAAATGCGGAAGTGGAAGTGCCGATTTTGCGGATGGTGGACGGACGGACGGACGTAGTTGTTGCTGCAAATGTGGGCCTTTTACTGGTTTCCCCAGTGGGTAACAAAACCACAAGCAGACAGTGAGGCAGACAGACAGACAGACACGGGGATAGACAAAATGCATGATCGATATTCGTGGATGTGCAATTTTACATACATATGTTTGTATGTATGTATGTATGTATGTATGTATGTTTCTTTGTTTGCGTTTTAGTATAAATAAAAAAAACAAATACGTTGAATTTTAATTTCGTTTTTGCGCCACTCATTTTTATTTTTTTTTTTTGTTACTGCTTCTGCCTCTCATTTTTTGCGAATGTATGTGCCGCGCATTCGCAAAGAATGTAATAAATCACTGGTGTAGTTTTAGTTGTATTTTGCGCATTAAATTTTTGTTCAAAGGTTGTTGGACAACCTCCTCACTCCTTTTGACTCACTTATATATGTAATTTCTGAAGTTCTGCACATAAAGTCTGCGACTCGTTTTTTGAGGAAGAATACTTTTGTATACTTATTTGTTTAATGGCGCGATATCTGAATTCACGTTTATTTTGTCTGACTTCGAACTGAACTTGCATCGGCCGCCGTTCGATGCAAACTGTTTTGAGCTGCGCTGGTGGCCGCTGGTTTAACTGCAGATTGTGACTGGCTTTTGGCAAGCATTGTATAGAGCAAGCTTTTAGTGCAATATTTTTTTACATTTTTTATTTTTATTTTAATATCTTTTTTTCCTCTTGCGCTGCTTTTTCCTTGAAGCGAGATGAAAAAGCTGTTGGTTGCAAGCTCAAAGGCGTTAAGTGAAGCAAGAAAATCTACCAAACAACTTGCCACTTACAATAGGTTGCAAATTTTAATAGCCAAACATTGTTTTTGCGTAGTAATTTAGTTTTATTTTTAATAGCACTTTAAAGTGGAGGCTGACTGAAGGTTTTTCCTTAAACCCAGGTGGCTAATCATATTTTCAATTTGATAATTGTGATGGATGTTATATGGGTACACCCTAATGTTTATGCACATAGGCGCATTTCGATGGCAAAGCTCTGTCTAAAGGATTATGAACTTAAATTGGCGACAAGATAAAGCCGGCATTTCGTCTCTTGCGATAGACTAATTCCGACTAGGTACTCGAGAATGCTGTTATCAATTGAATACGCAGAGAGCAGTTTGTGTTCTGTTTAGATGATTCATCCGTTTTCTAGCTAAATCATATACCAAGGGCCTGTCTAAGGTCCTCAGTACCCGCTTACTGCGTTCGGAGTTTACGCACACAGAAATTATACAGTCAGCGTCAAAAGTTAGCATACACCTTTTTTATACAAATATGCATAGTTCATTCTATAACAAAAACCATATAAATCGAAGTTTCACACTTTGTATAAAAT